TTTTGCACCTTAAAATTCTTAACAGCTTTTTAAAAGTGGGGCCTGCATTTTCATTTTGCACTAGACCTCATGAGTAGAAGAAAGGGAATCATAAAGATCAGAATATAAATGCAATTGATTCTAAGATAACAATACAAAAGATCAATGAAACCAAGAGCTGGTTTTTTAAAAAGATAAACATGGTTGACAAACCTTTAGCCAAATTCATCAAGAAAAAAAAGAAAGAGAGGACCCAAAGAAATAACGGCCGCATAAGTAATATGATGGACTTAAGAAAGGGGATTTAAGAAAGGGGATTTAAGAAAGTCTTACAAATAACTATATGCCAATATATTGGACAATCTTGACAAAATGGATAAATTTCTAGAAACATACAACCTTCCAAAACTGAATCAGGAAATCTGAATAAACTAATTAAAAGAATGAAATTGAAGCAGTAATAAGAAAACTGACAATAAACAAAAGTCCTGGACCAGATAACTTTTCAGGTGAATTTCCCCAAACATTCAAAGAAGAACCAGCACCTATCCTCAAACTATTCCAAAAAATTCAAGAGGAGGGAAGACTCCCATGCTCATTTTATGAAGCCAGCATTATCCTAATTCCAAAACCAGAGAAGGACACTGCAAAGAAAGAAAAGTATAGACCAATATCCCTGATGAAAATAAACGGTAAAATCCTCAACAAAATATAAGCAAACAGGATCCAGTGATACATCAAAAAGATCATACACCATGATCAAGTGGATTTTATTTCAGGGATGCAAGGTGATATTATCCACAAATCAATAAATGTGGTATACCACGTAGACAAAATGAAGGATAAAAATTACACGATTATACCAATAGAAGCAAAACAAAGCATTTGATAAAATCTAGCACTAATTTATAATAAAAACCCTCAGCAAAGTGGGATAGAGAGAATATACCTCATATGGCCATATATGACAAACCCACCGCCAACATCATACTCAATGGGCAATAACTAAAAGTGTTTCTTTTAAGATCAGGAACAAGACAGAATGCCTACTTTCATCACTGTAATTCAACATAGTACTAGAAGTCCTAGCGAAGGCAATCACATAAGAAGAAGATATAAAAGACACCCAAAATGGAAAAGAATAAATAAAACTGTCATAATTTGCAGATGGCATGATACTGTATATAAAGAATCCTAAAGATTCCACCTAAAATCTACTAGAACTGATAAATGAATTCAATAAAGTAGCAGGATACAAATAAATACCCAGAAATCAGTTGCATTTTTTATACCAATAATAGAAGGAAACTAAGAAAACAATCCCATTTACAATTGCATAAATAACTCCCTCAGAATAAATTTAACCTAAGATTTAAAAGACCTGTACTTATAGAAAACTATAAGATACTGAAAAAAGAAATTAAAGAAGATACAAATCAGTGGAAACATATACTTCATGAATTGGAAGAATTTATATCATTAAAATGTCCACACTACCCAAGACAATCTATAGATTTAATGCAATTCCTGTCCAGATACCAATGGTATATTTTACAGAACTGGAACAAATATTCAAAAAATTATAATGTAATTCATATCAAGATATCAATGGCATATTTTATAGAACTGGAACAAATATTCAAAAGATTTATATAGAACCATAAAAGACCCTGAATAGCCTCAGCAATCTTTAGAAAGAAGAACACTATTTAAGGAATTGTGCTACCTGTTATCAAATTATACTAAAAGGTCACAGTAATAAAAACAACATGGCATTGACATAAAAACAGACATACAGATCAATGGAACAGAATAGCGAACCCCAAAATAAGCCCACCCTTCATGGTCAGCTAATATTTGACAAAATAAGCAAGAACATACAATGGGGTAAAGATAGTCTATTCAATAAATGGTGTTGAGAAAATTGGACAGATATCTGCAAATATATAGACCATCTTCTTACAGCATACACAAGAATAAACTCAAAATGGATTAAAGACTTAAATGTTAGACCTGAAACCACAAAAATCCTAGAAGAAAACATAGGCAGTAAAAATCTCAGACATTTCTTGTAGCAATATATAGATAGATATAGATATAGATATATAGGTATATAGGTATCATCTCAGGCAAGGGAAACAAAAGAAAAAATAAACAAATGGGACTACATCAAAATAAAAAGGTTCTACACAGCAAAGGAAACCATCAGCAAAATGAAAAGACAATTCACTGAATGGGAGAACATGTTCATCAGTGATATATCTGATAAGGGGTTAATATCTACAATTTATAAAGAACTTATATAAAGAACTCAACACTAAAAAAATAAGCAATCCAATTTAAAAATGGGCAGAAGACCTGAATAGACACTTCTTCATGGTGTATATACAGATGACCAACAGATATGAAAAGATGCTCAACATCACTAGTTATCAGAGAATTGCAGATTAAAATCACAATAATATATCATCTCACACCTGTCAGAATGGGTATCATCAATAAACCAATGAACAAGTGCTGGTGAGGATGTGGAGAAAAGGGAATGCTCATGCACTGTTGGTGGAAATACAGATTAGTACAGCCGCTATGGAAAGCAGTACAGAGATGCCTCAAGAAATTAAAAAATGGAATTGTCTCAAGATCCAG